CCCTTAATCTAAGAATGGACTACGTACATACAACATTCTTTGCTTAGAAAAAAGAAACAAAAATAGCTCAAGACCTTCTATTTTTGTTCTACATCAAATATTCATAGTTTCCTGAAGATATCTTTGAGAAGTTCCCGAAATTCTAGAAGTTCGGTCGCCTAGACGGCTGGGTGCATATGTCTTGTCCCTAAAATACACCGAATTTACCAGAACTAACCTTTCATTTATTCATATTATAATGTCCTTTTATATGGAGTGTTTATCTACTCCTTTTTGAATAAATTAGCTATAAAATAGAGTAAAAAAAGTGCGTCTTTAAAATCAAAAAGCGAAACAGTTTTCAGTCGTAAACACAGAGCGATATGCTGAAAAACGACTATTATTTTTTCTTTTCTTTTTTTCCAAAGCCCACTTTTTTCACTAGCTTGTAGGCATAAAAACTGATTTTCCTTAGCTTTAATTAAGCGGCTGTTAAGAATAAAACTTTTAGTTAAAAATGTAGCGGCTTTGCGAGAAAAGTCACAAAAAGTTTCACGAAAAAGTTGAAGTATTTTCTGCTTTCACCTTGTATTATACCGAGTAACCATGTAAAACTTTATTGGTCAAGAAAAAGAAATTGCCGAATATCTCGTAGGGCTACTCTACTATTGTAGTTCAAACTCATGTAGTGCAAAACCAAGGTTTTAACTGTGACAGCCGTCACTGAGAATGCTCTCTGTATTAAATTAATCAGCGATGTAATAAAGCATTTCATTTTGATTTTTAAAGCATTGTTATATAAGTTACAGACAATTTGTTTTCACCTAATTCTTTAGACTTGATTCATTCCAACGCTTAGCTCACAGAATATAAAAATGTTTAACAGTGCCTCTGAAGTCGCATCGTCAGACTCAAAAGATTGACAGCCCCGGCATTTTATTTTATTTACTTGTAGCTGAATCTTGCGTGCAACGAGGCAAGTTTCACGGGGGTGTTACACAGTGCAATTTTGTCCTGAAACTTGTTCGCGACACAAGTTTCGATTGCACGAGTGGAAAGCAGTCCTACTTTTCGTGAAACTTTCTCGCGGCGAAAGTTTCGCAAAGTGTTACGCGGTGCAATTCGTTCTGAAACTAGTCTCGCAACACCGTTGCACACAAGTTTTAGCTAAACGTTTCCACGTGTAACGAGGCTTTAAATGTAGACAGCAACAACGAAAGCAAGGGAAAAGACAGTTTGAACAAATGAAATTTATAAAACAGGCTACGAAATCAAGAAGCGGGTAAATGGAAACGAAAAAACAAGTATTAAATAGATTCCGTGATGAAGTGAGCCCCTGTTGTTAACAAAGAACTAAAACAATATTTCATTCAACGGTCTCTGGTCGTGCTATGTATGATCAGCAATGATTAGCATATGGCGCTCCCAACTGACCTAATGAAAAAGCTGGGATTAGGCCAGATTAGGACTTACATTATTATTGTTTGTATTTGGATCTCAATAGAAATTTCTTGAATAAACGGCTTTGTTTAGCTGTTCCTAGTGGTGGTTGGATGAGAATATGTTATGTTTGTAGTATTCTTCGATGGCACCTTACCTCATCACTGCCAAGTTGGGGGTATTTAACAAAAGAYTTCTCATTACCATCCATTGGTAATCGCACCAAGATGGCCGCGACTGCTTTTTTTGTCTTTTGACCCTTGGGAATGTCGGCTTGCAACCCATCAATAGACCTCCTCGGCTCTGACGTAAYGTTCCCATTTCAGACCACATGTCATTCCCTAGAGTATCATTTCTTTGTTTAAGGTTTGCGTTCGGTTGCACATGAGAAGACACACGAATATGGATACAGCTCAAACAAAGAATCTTATTCTCAAGGGAATGACACGTGGTCGGAAATGGGAAAACATTACCCCAAGCCGAAGAGAACTATTGCTAAAAAACTAGTAGACTATTACAATTTTTTTTATATCTCGGCTCTAGTAGAGCCAGTAAAGGCTCCGAATGCCACTGAAGACAAAGTTTGGGAAAGTGCATTGTTGGGCTAATTTAGGGAACATATTTCCAAGATGGCGTCTTTTATCCTTTAAAACAGCYCCACAATGCACTACAAATCCAAATCGACSTAGTTTTTTCATCAACTTAGGACTGCTAATATTCTTAGACTTACTCATATGTCCAATGTAATAGCCCACCTCCGAGATATGCTTCGCTTGTCACGCACAAAGGTTTCAGTATGAGGCTACGTGCTAAATTAAATTWATTCTTACMGCCTGTCACGAATAACTGAGCAATTAGCACGTAGCCTCGTACTGAAACCTTTGTGCGTGACAAGCGAAGCATATCTCGGAAGCGGGCTATTGTGATAGGCTTTCGCTGATTGCATTCACATCGCCCATAGTGCATTCCGGGCTTGGTATGTAACATGCCAGGAAAATCTTCACCAACCTTTTTTGAAAAAGTTGTATAATTAATAAACTACTTACTTTAACATGCTCTTTCTAATCATGATAATTTTTGTTGGTCTTGAATCAATACTTAGAATGTCACGCTATACATGCAAACGCCGTCCCCATTTCTTGTCCATCTTGACAAAAGTGTCCGTAGCTTGAATGCATGACTTTGAAAGGTCCAAAAAACGTTTTGATTTTTTGCCTTCCTATCAATTTAACGGCATTAATTTTATTTTTGYGTGTCGTGTGTCAAAARATATAATATTAAATGWTTAAATAAWGGAATAAGAAACGGTTCAAGTTTTYATATTCATTTCTACGACGAATCGAAAAGAAAGAGTAMTCCAGTACCGCYCGAAARCTGGATTTTCATTGCTCCCTAAGTACAGTACCGCTTTTGTAAGGTTAGGTTTAGTGCYATTGTTTGGATGACCAATCTATTGTTTTTTAATCCAATCATGTAACTYGTTCCGAGCGGTACGGGCTGGCTCAAAAGAAAACATCCGAAATGAAACCTATAGCTAAATTTAGATTTTCAGTTATTTATAGTTATTTATAGCATTTTGCATTTGTTGACAATGTTTCTTCTATGAAAGGTGTCACGAAATTTCCCCCCTTTTTTTTTTGAAAAAAAAACATAACATAAGTTTTCCAGAGGTTCTACTGATCTTGCCATGTAATAGCTTCTTTTTCTTACCTTTTACAGTTTTCACTCTCCCAGTAGTATTTGCTCAATTAAAGCTATGTTAGTTTAGTTTTATTCAGCCCAAATTAGTTTAACTTAGTATCATTACATGGAATAGAAAATTGAGTTCGGCACGTCCTACAAAATGGTGGCATATTCATTATTCAGAACAGTTTGGGCCTTGTACTCGTACCATCTTTCGGACACTTCAAAGCTGTAGTGCTTGCATCCGCCAATGGATGTAACTTGCTGCCTTGTCACGTGTCTTTCAACGTACTCCTTTCTTACCAAGACACGTGATCCACTGATTCAGCTGAGGTATTACAGAGTCTGTATTTCGGATCTGTGTCATCCTTGATTATTTGGTTGTGATACAGGCTTTGATCTTGAGCAGCGATTATAAACCCCTCTGTTTCGGCTTTGACTTCGCTACTTTTAAGCCACTGGTTGGTCTTGCTTCTCTCAGTGTCTGCTTTACTTAGCCTTTTATAGTATTACCCATGCATTGGCTTTCCTTTCCATGATTCTCCTATAGACTGTAAAAGATGTTTCACTTGTTCATGGCAATTCTTGGCCTTTTCTGTTGTACTAGAGGCGTTCTCACATTATTATTATTATTATTATTATTATTATTATTATTATCATCATCATCATCATTATCATCGTCAAGTAACCCAAGCAAGAGACAAAGGAGCAAGCTCATGGCTCAATGCGATACCAATTAAAGAACAGGGACTTGCTTTGAATAAACAAGAATTCAGAGATTCTCTTTGTCTGCGTTATAATATACCGTTATCGGGTTTACCAAGTACCTGCGCTTGTGGGACAACCTTTTCGGTAAGCCATGCACTATCTTGTAAAAAGGGAGGATTTGTTGCACAAAGACATGACAATGTCCGTGATCTACTTGCCATACTTTTAAACAAGGTTTGC